TCAATTCCGTATCCTGAAAAATGTCAACGAGGTAATTTCAGATTCCTTCGAAATTGAATATTAAACCTTCGATCCTTCCAATCAGATGACCGATTATTTTCCAATAAAGGAGTGTTTACCATTTTCCCACCCCCTAAAGTAAATAAAGTTCTCTCGTTCAGATTCCAGTTAATTTAAGTTCAAACAACCTGTTATTAATAACACGAGTGTAACCATCAGTCTTCGTTTCAACCGCTCCGAGAATTAAAGTTTCAAACCTTCCTTTCTTCCTCTCTGTCGATTCACTTGCCTTCACGAGCTTGCGCTTGTGAACATGAAATATGCATACGTTGATAGCTGACCGATTCCACGACCTGCTTATATACCTAGAGCCGGTTGCAACGAGGAAAAAGGAAAAAAAAAGAAGAGAAAAAAAAGAAAACGACAGACGATAGAGGAACGTTGGTTCGCGTGCGGTGAACCCTTCGGCGTTAGGCTGATCCAGCGTCGACACGACATCGTCGAACGCGTTCGAAATGCCGCGTCGCGTCGTCTGGCGTGTTTCTTTGTTGCACAGACCCCGTTTTTCGTGCAACCGCGTGGTCCGTTACGCAACAATCGATTAAAAGAAAAAAATTGAACGACAGCGCACGGGTAAACACTTGCGTAACGATTTGCGGCTGGTCGCGAGTGTATTGTTGGGGTGAGCGCAGGAAGTTGGCCCGGACTTCACGTGCAGATAACGCGCAATTCCATTTTTTAAAGGTAGGAGGCGATTAATTGAAATTTTTGTCGGCGTTACGTCGTGCATTTCTTTATTTCGAGTGAACGAGCACGTTTCGCGGAGTGCACTCATTCGCCAGGCTGTCATTTAGTCAATAATGTAATTAGTAACTTTGTAGTGTTGACATGTCCTTAATGGCTTTAAATACGGATTCTTATAGCAATTCTTATAGCAATTAGATGATACACGTAGCCTTTAAATGAGCTGTAGTTTTAACGATCTTTTTCAATTTTCAATTAATCTCAAGTATCGTCGACACGATTTCGATAAAGGTATTTATATGTAGAAGAATTATGTTTTAATGTTTTAACATTAAAATTAATATTAAGAAATATCAAAATATTAAATATTAAATATTAAAATATTTAATATTTTAATATTTTTTAATATAACTTATGTTTCGATATTTTTATATTTAAATATGATTCTGACATGAAATCTAGCCATACAGGAAAAACCAATTTTCTAAAGTTGTTTCCAAAAAAAAAATATCCGACTTCATTTCCATATTTTTCAATATTTTCCGTGTTTTCAACAAAACAAGTAATAACTCGTTCGTGGGCGTACCGTGTGACGCATTCTGCGTATAAAGTAATTAAACAGCGCTTAATTAGACTTGTTCAATATTTTCGCCAGAAACATTTTCTCTGCTCTTTTTTCAAAAAACATTTCATACGCTCGCATGCGAAGAAAATTTCCTATTCGACCAGTACGATTTTATAACATACGCGTGCTCATTACTTCAATATATTTACTTCTGACTTTGTTTGACGAATCAGACACATTCCAGGAATACATTATTGCATTTTGTTACATTTCATCAATAGTCAAACATGATCAAATGAAAGTATTCTACGACTCGCAATCAACCACGGAATATTTCATACTCTTTGTAATATCATTTCAGTAATTTCACCGGCGAGAGGATGAAAATAATTTCAGTCTTTAATCGAAAACATCGTGTACTCTCGTCGAAGCGAAAACAGAACGTTTATTCGTTAATTTACTTTATTTTATATTTTATTCCGTCTCCATTAGGCGACCTTTTCACAACGTGAAATGTTTCTGTTCCATTTTAATCAAGAACAAAGCGTAACGTCCACCCTCCGTTTGATTTTATTATGGAAAATTGTGTTTTAATTATGAACTCCTACGAGATTTTAATATTGTAATCGTTCCCCTCGGCCCTCTAGGTTAAATTAAATTCACAAAGCTTAATTACACGACACTTGTTTCAATTGAAATGTACACACCTCCGTCCGCATATTTTTATACGTATATTTTGTATTATAAAGTGACAAATTCATGTTATTTCATGTTATTTCACAATTATGAAGATGAATCTGTCCTCTCTCTCTCTCTCTCTCTCTCTCTCTCTCTCTCTCTCTCTCT